TTTTATTTTATCTCTTCCGTTTTTTTTCAATATTTTCTGCTAATTAGAATTTTAAAAAATAATTTAGAAAAAAATGTATTTACCAAAAATGGTAATTTCTATATTGCACTGGAATTTACTATACCATAGTAACTTTTACCATACAGTATGGTATTTTTAACTGACATTTTTTTTCTCAATAGGATTTTTTTCAATTATTCGCATGAATAGTATTTCCTCATCATTATCATCATAGTATTTTTTACCATACAATATAGTATTTTTCATATACAAATTTTTTATTATAATTGTAATTTTTACTAGACTGTATGGTACTTTTTTTTAATCACAACTAGAATAATTTTTATCATACTGTATGGTATTTTTTTTTTCAACAATATTGCACGGTATTTTCAACAAAAATAGTACTTTTACTAAAAAAAAATAAAAATCATGCAAATTTTTATTTTTCTCAAAGCTACTGTGAAAATAAAAATTATTTTAATTTCCAAAACCACAAAAATAATTACTACAAAGGAAACGTATTTGTAGGATTTTTAAAAATTAAAAAAACTTTTCTTTTTTTTTTTTTTAAATACGCCAAAGAGTATGGTCCATGGCTGACAAAATTCTGAACTCGTAAATTTTTTATCGTCCCCGTCGCCGAGTCTCGTCACGGACGCCATATCCGTTAACCCCAAGCCCAAGCCTAACAGACATTATCTTCTCTTTACTCCCATGCATCTAACGGGAATATAGGCAAAAAAAAAAAAAAAAAAAAAAAAAAAAAAAAATTGGTTAAAGTCAGGAAAAAAGGGAAAGGGAAAGAAAATGAGGATTTATTAATTTAAGGATATTATATATATATAGACTAGAATAAAATTGAGGTTGTTTTTTTTCGCCCCCCCCCTCATATCTGTCGTCGATATTACATGACTAACCCGTTCAACGATGAACACTTGAATTTTCACGAAACTGCGCTAATCGAGTTTTTCATTTTTTTTTTTTTTTTTTTTTGTTCGCTAATATATATTAAAAACTGCTTATAATATAATTTTTTATTTCCGGTATTTAATGAGGCACCGGGCGCATTGAACATTTAGTACGTAAGAGAAAATTACGTACAACCCGTTACACGTTTTTTTTTTTTATTTATTTTTTTTTTTTATTATTGTTATTGTATATTCGTATCTACAATTGGAAGAACAAGACGCCGCCTTCTTAAAAGGTACGTGGCATAAAAAGCGCTACAGTACGCATGGGTCCCATTATCCAAAAGCTTTTTTTTTCACGATGAATTCTATCACTTTTTTTTTCTCTCACTTGTTTTTATTTTTAATTTTTTTATTTAAAAAAATTTTTTTTTTTTTCATTTTGCTGCCAGCTAAAATTCTCTTCAATCAGAACGTCGTTTTTAGACAGGTTTAATGGGATTTAAATAAACTTTTTTTTTGTTAATTAAATTTAGTGACAGAAATAGATATTCAGGAATAATAATAATAAAATAGAAAAATAATAAATAAAATAACGAGTAAACTAAAAAGAAAATAAATAATAAAAGCGGAAGAAATTATTGAATAAATATATGACATATAAAAGGAATGAATGAAAATAAATCGTCAAAAGAAAAAAAAAAACGACAGTCTGATTGAAGCATCGAGAAAAAGTTTTGATCTTGAAAATCCAATAAACGTGACCGAAAGTTCTTAGAATTCAGAATAAATATATAAGATTATTGCTAATCAGATCACTATTAAGTATTCTGACATAAAAAGGTTTCATGTTTATTAAAAAAAAAGAAAAAAAAAAAGAAAAATAGTCCGCGGAGACGAAGAAGAGCATTTTCTATATATTTTTTTTTTTTGACTAGATTCTTCAATTCGTGAAGTACTCATTAAATAATTAACGAAAAAAAAAAGAAAAAAGAAAACGCCATTTACTAATTCTACGCCATTAACGACGACTAATTTCTTATAATACATATTATAATGGTATATTTCATATATTTATATAATACTAATTGCATTCTATTGAAATTAACTTTGCAGAATCGCTAATTAAAATTAGAAAAAAAATAATATAGAAATTAATTTTGGAAAATTTTATTAAAAAAATAGAATATAAAAAAAATACTAATTAGTTTTTAATTTATCTATTTTTCCATTTTCTATAATTTTTAATTAAAACAAAAAATTAAAAATATAAATAGCGATTGTGCAAAGAAATTTTGTCGGTCTCGTGATAAATAATTATATATATATGGAGGCAACTAAAACAACAAACGTTATTTTACCGACTAGATAAAAATTCTACTATTCAATAAATATCTTACCTGAATTCCTGATTCGGCCAAGATTATCCGCAGAAGCTGATATACAACGGCCGAACGAGATCATATTTTTTTTTAACATAAGGGGGCTGGGGGGGGGGGGTTGCAATTAAAATCAGAATTAGGAATTGATACGAAGTTGGGTTTTTTTTTTTTTTTTAAGGCACTCGGAAACGTCAAATCGACGAGGATTACGATTATTAAATTGGAAGTCCTGAATTGTGTTTACACAAGAGATTGAATTAAATGATAAATTAATAACAAATTCAAAAATATAATTTTTTTTCTTTCATAAAATTAAAAAAAAAACCGATTTTTAATTTCACTTTTTAAGATCGAAATAATAAAATAAAAAAGTTACAATCACGTAATTAAATACGTATTTTATTTTTATAAAAAATTACGAAAAATTCAAAGAAAAAGTAAAAATAAACGAATTTTTATTGAAATTATTTCATTCTACTAATTTATTATATAAAAATAAAAATTTTTAAATTGAAAAATTTCAAAAGCAATGATTGTAATTAAGAATTAAAGTAATATTTCGATCTCAATTGATAGTGCTATTAATATAATTGATCCTCTTTGATTTTATATGACTTTCGTTTTTTTTTCATCGTTAAAAGTCAATCGATATGTTAGTCTAATTCTTCAAAATATTAATGAAATTGTAATTATTTTTGAAAAATAAAAATTTTTACTTTTTTAATAAAAACGAGAATTGAAGAAAAAATTCAATAGGGCGCGAGGATCCTTTTTAGAATCGATTTTTGTTGAAAAATATATTTTTTTTTTCTATATATAAATATAAAACGGTGAGAGTGCCAGGGGCAGAGGATTTTGGGCAAAACTAATGCATGCGCTACACAATATTTTGCTATATATCTCGTTATCGTTATCTTTCTTTTTTTTTTTACAAACCGTCCGAGTCATCATATAGAAGAAAAAAATCGACGTCCTTCCGATTGATCAAAAAGTAATCTCGGGAGACTTCGTCCTTCCTTCTAAGGATGCAAGATTATTTTTCGAGAAATAAATAAAAAAAAAAAAAAAATACACACGGGCGAGCGCAGGCATTTCGAACCAACCAGATCGCGACGTGTAGCGATACATACGGTTTTCCTTTTTGGTTTTACACTTTTCTTTTTTTTTTTTTTAATTCTCCTTATTTCTTTGGTCATTTACAAACCGTGTTCTCGATTTTTGCTCCTTTCGAAACCATATAATTTTCTTTTTTTGTCGTATTCACGGGTTTCAATTAAAAAATTTTTCGATCAATTTTTCCCCTCCCAAAAAAAAAATAGTACGAGAATAAAAATTTCTTGAATTTTCTCAATTTAAGGGCATTACAATCAAAAAGCGATATACTATTTGTTGAGAAAAATTTAAGTGTAAAAATCAAGAAATTTTTCATAATTTTGCGATACAGTAATCCCTCGATAAGCATCTATTGTATTTGAAAGTTTAAAATAATTACGAAGCTGAAGTACGCAACGTTTTTGATAAACGATTTTTAAAGAAATAATTTTTTAAAATGAAAAATTCTATAATTTTTTGCCTAAAAAATATTTTTTTTATAATTTATTGATTAATGAAAACAACAAGAAATATTTTTTAGGCAAAAAATTATAGAATTTTTCATTTTAAAAAATTATTTCTTTAAAAATCGTTTATATAAACGTTGCTTACTTCAGCTTCGTAAATAATTTAAGTCTGAAAAAATAAAATCGCTTGATATTTTTCTCGAACAATTATTTTTTTTGAGTTCTCATATAGCGAGGGATTACTGTAAACACGGGATCTTTTCTATAATTATTAAAACTGCATTAAAACAGTCAATTATTTTCTACCGTATATATATATAAATAATGTCGACTACACTAAAGGCAGCAAAATTAAAAAAAAAATGTTTTATCACTACTCGCGTAATTATCAAATATATATATACCGAAACCAGCAACAATTATGACATATATATATATAAATAATGTATTAATTTCTGGCGTTATTCTAATTCATCAAATCCCCAAATTATTTCGACCATTTCACACACAAATGTTATATCAGAAAAAGAAGAGTTCAGCCATTAAATACAAATCTACACTATAGAGAGATCCAAAAAAAAAAAAAAAAAATATGTAAAATACTTTCATTATCAAAAAAAAATATATTTTCCGAAAATACACAATATTCCAATAAAAATAAAGAATATATTAATAATTAATATATAATATTGAAATTATAATAAATTATTATTAATTCAAATTAATATTTACTAGTAAAAATTTATAAAAATAAAAAAATAAAAATTGCAATAAAAAAAATTATTGCAATTCATATATCTTATGAATATTCAAATATTTTTACAATCTTCCAAATATAAATTGAAATTCAATTATTTATAATTATAATAAAATAAAAAATCTTTTAAAATCGTTACTTGATTAAAGAATGTTAATTAAAAATTTGTTTATAAAGTTTGTTTAAGCTCAGCAAACTTTTAATTTAAACAAACATTTAATTATTTTTAACTTTTTAATTATATCATTGTTTAAATATTTTTATTATTTTTTTTACGCTTACCCTATAGAGTAAAAAAAAAATAAAATCAACAAAAAATGTCAATTGAAAAACTTCACATAAAGTAAATTTTTTTTTTTTCAATTAAAGTAAAAAATTAGCTTTCTGAAAAAAAACCATTCACATTATTTACAATCGCACTAAATTGAAAGTGTAAATAAAGTTAATATAAAATAAACTTCAATTAACAATATATTAAATAAGATTTAGTTATTTGTTGTTCATGCCTTTTAGTTATATATTATATATACTTGATGAAAAAGAAGATAAAAATTGGATTAGTTTTGGATCACTCTAAAAAAAAAAAATCTACTTGTTCAAAAGAAAAAAAAAGAGAAAATAAAATTATTTTTTTTTTTCTAAAATCGACAACACAGTTTGCAGACACTTTCCCGTTAGGTACTCGTTGTAGTGCTACTGGCACGAATCGGGCCGGTAACGCAAAAACACAGCACCAAACATAATAATAATAATAATAATAATAATAATAATGATAATAATAATAATAATAATAATAATAATATATTACTTTTTACTAAGTTAGGTGTAAGATACAAGGTAAATATAATACTGGGTAAGTGACAGATACAGGGAAAATACACAAAGATGTTAGCTACCAGTTTTAAACGACTACTTTATTGGCAATGTCTCTAGGCATTGACTAAACTATATACGTTCTTGTATCGGAGTTAGTAAGATTTTTTTTTGAGTGGTTGTCAGTGAGTGAATGAGTGAATGGATAAGTGTTCTCGTTTTTTTTTTTTTTTTTTTTCATTATGTACGTTCTAAAAGTGCGCATTTGCCAGTGATATTCAAAAAATTTTCTCTATTAATTAATATGTAATTAATTCATTCTCAATTAATTAATAAAAAAAATATAAATTTTTAATATTAAACTTTTACTTACTTTTTTTTCGTTATAATATCAAAACAATTACTATAATAAAAATTATCAAAAAAATTGTAAATTTAAAATTTTTCATGGAGAAATAATATTTTTCACAATTACAAAATAGTTCATAAGTGAGGAAACCGTTTTTTCTTTTGTGAACATATTTTTTTTGAATTTTATTAGTCTTATAAGAATTATGTACTGTTTTGTAAATTTTTTAAACGGTTTAATAAAGTTTACAGTACAGTTTAGTTAAATTTTCAGACTGTTTAGTAAAGTTCACAGGTACAATTTAGTAAAATTTATAAACTGTTCAGTAAAATTTACAGTACAGTTTAATAAAAATAACAAACTGTTTAGTAATGTATATTGTACAGTTTAGTATAATTAATACAAAACATTTGAGTAGAATTAATCAACTGTTTAGTAAACAGAACAGAACAGTTTAGCAAAATTTGTTAACTTAGCAAAAATTTCAAAACAGTTTAGTAAAATTATACTAAACTGTTTAGTAAAGTTTTCTGTACAGTTTAGTAGAATTTGTAAACTGCTTAGTAATGTTTGCACAACAGTTAAATAAAATTAACCAACTGTTTGGTAATGTTTTCTGTACAGTTTAGTAAAAATTTGTAATTTGCTTAGTAATGTTTGTCGAACAGTATAGTAAAATTAACCAAATGTTTAGTAAACCGAACACTTCAGCAAAATTTGTAAACTGCTTAGTTTTACAGAACAGTTTAGTAAAATTAAAAATCTACTTAGTAAGATTCACAGTACAGTTTAGTAAAATTTTTTAAACTGCTGAGTAAACTTTACAAAACAGTTTAGTAAAATTTACATACTGCATAGTAAAGTTTATAGTAAATATTTTTTAGAAATTAACCAATTGCTTAGTAGAGTTTACAGAATAGTTTAGTAAAATTTACAAACTGTTTAGTACAAAATAATCACATATATTGTTTCTCCATGTTATTCGCGATTTATAAAATTGTGATTTAAGGGAAGAAAAGATATTTTTTTTTTTAGTTTCTTTTTTGATGGAAAAAATAAATTTACGAATAATAGAGAAATAAAAGAATAGCACTGGCAAGTGCGACAGCACGACGTACCAGACGCGTCGAAGATGAGTCTCCTTGTCAGCGTGTGGTCTCGTGAAACCAGGCTTGCTAATAATAATAATTACAGCAATGACAATAATAAGAAAGATTCTGATGCACAATAATAATGGCAATAAGATGATAATGGCGGTGATACTCATAATCATAACAACAGTAATGGCAGCAGCAGCATCAACAGCAGCAGCAGCAGCAGCAGCAGTAGTAGTAATAGTAGTAGTAGTATTAGTAATAATCATAATCATAACATAGTAATACGTCTCGAGTATCGGTCGTACAGTAGGGACGCGTTATCTAAAAAGTATTCTAGGCTCTGTAAAGCGTGAAGGCAGTTTTCTTGCTTTTGCTACTTGACTGCTTCATCATCTTCTTCTTCTCTCTTTTTTTTTTTTTTTTTTGAAAACTTATCTCTCGTCGAGGTACGGAGCAGTGGATTTTATCATTTAATTTATATTTTGAAAAATTTCTGTCAGAAAATAATTGGAAGCCTATTTCAGAGAGCCACTACGGTAGGAGACCACAAAAGACAGTCAAATATATCGGAAGGATTGTCGGGTACTTTTTTTTTTTTTTTTTTTTGCTTTTTTAATGTCCAATGTCGACGCGATAAATTTGTCGTATATAAATATATGTAAATATACAGGTTCAATAATAATTAGACAATCGTACTTAAATTAATTAATTAATTAGAGAACTTAAGACAATAATAATACCATAGGAAGCACAACTGTGCAGAAACACTCGCACACTAACGTCGTATTAAAAAAAAAAACGAAACGAAAAATAGAACTAGATCTTTATACAAATTAGAGACTTTCACCGGGTAAAATTATTTAATGAATGAAAATAATAAAGCAAGAATAAATTGATAGAAAAATTGATTTGTTAAATATATTATACAACAACAAAAAAAATCATGCATTTAAAAGTATATATTCTTGCTGTGAACAATATATCATATATAGAATTTATTTCGCCCGGTGAAATTATCTCTCTAGAGGAGAATATAGAAGATAGAAATGGTGGGTAAAGAAGAAAAATGGTAGCAGTGACCACTAGTGTCCATTAAAATGATTAAAGAAAATAAATAATGAAATTGCCAACCAGCATGCTTCTTCCTAAACGCACTAAACTAATGAGTGGTTAATTTAAGAAAAAAAAAGAAAAAAAAAACTAAACTACACAATACATATTTCTTTTTTTTTTGAAAAATTGACCAAATAATATATATATATATGACCAAAGATCAGACGATGGCGGCTTATAAAGAAACAAAATCGAGAAACGACGTGTCTGCGAATCAGTCCGCGGTACGGAAGTCGTTCGTGAATGGCTGCATTTCTCGAATCCGAGAAAGGACAAGACCTACCACATTGGCTCTCCTCCCTACGCGGACTTGAGAGAGATTTTTATTTTTCTCCTCGACTTCTCGATTGTGTTTGTCTCTTTTTTTTCCCCCTCGAGCTACGTCAGTCATTTTTTATTTTATTAAAAAATTTTCCTTGAAAGTATTTTTTCTTCTAATTTTAAATTTTCTTCACAAGTGGAACTTGTTTACATGGAGAAAAAAAGGTTTAAAAAAAAAAAATTCTTACTGACGTATTCGACCCCAAACACTTCGAGAGTCTTGACTCTGGCTTTCTTTTAATGACAGAGCACACGACCAACGTAATACCCTTTGATCTCTTTTTTTTTTCATCCAGACGCACAAATCTTTCTCATTTTTTTTTCTTTTTTTTTTTTTTTTGCCAACACACTCATACTTTAAAACACAAGCGTTCTACGACATACCTATGCGAATTAATTTGTATGCGTCAATTCGCGCAAAAAATTTCTTAATGTAACGCACGCTCCTTTATTTTTCTCTCCTAAAAACCCCTCTCTACTCTGATCTCCACTTTTTAATAATAAATAGAAAATCACAATAGGGCAATAAAAGAATTAACTTTTGTTGTTTTTTAATAACTTTTTCCGTGCATTTTTTTTCGAAAGTTGATAAAAGAGAGAGAGGGGAGATAGAGAGAGAGAAAGACAAGAAGCGAAAATCGGGAGAACGAGAGAAATTGATCACAGATTTTCGATATATTAACTTACGCAAGACAATGTTTTTTTTTTTGTTTTGTTTTGCGCATAAAGCGTAATCCGTAAAAGAATACCAACGATTTTTTTTCCCTTAAGTACAGCATAAAAATCACTGGAAGAAATGTCCTGCGCTGACAATTCTCTCCGTCTCCTTATCTTTCTCTCGCTTTCCTCATATCTATTTCTAGTCTTTAGCTTCTATTCGAGCTTTTTTTTTTTAACCAGTAATATCACTATAAATAGTTTATGATTAAATATTAAAGTTTAAGTATCCGCTTATTGCTCGAAAAAAAATTCATATCGTTCTTCTCAATGACTGCTTCCCCGATCACCGGATGACGATTCAGAGGAAAAAAAAAATTGAAAAAAAAATAATAAAAATGCAGAACAAAAATCGTCTTCCGCATCGTGAAAGTAATCCTAGTCAGTACAATCGCTTTGACTTAGGAGCTAAACTTAGTCGCTGACTTAAATTATTGAGCTAATCTCAATTCTCTTTTTTTCTCCCTTCGAATGCTTATTTGTTTGAGTATCATTTTTAAGTACTACCAACTATTTAAGTTTACTCAAATTTTTCTTTTTTTCGGAGGCTTAAGTAACAAGAGTCGAATGGTAGACGATATGTACATGTTTTTTTTTTTTTTTTTTTTTCTTTTTTTAACTTTTTTTTTTTTGACTGCGTTATTTGTCGATTCTGAAAACGCTGATCGGAATCAAATGATCGCTTTATTTCCCATTTCAAGATATAAATCAAAGGCGCGAGGAAAGCAGCTTGGTCTTCGATAAAGAAACAAAAAAATATATCGACAGGCACGTGAAGTTCTGCTTTCAACGAATAAAAAAGAACATTTTTACTCGTTCACGCAATAGGTTCACTTTCGATTTTTTTTTTTTATAAGAAAGGTATTATAACTTTGGAAATCTGAAACGCGGATCAATTTTTAGGCACTCAAATCAAACGATTGCTTTAGAATGGTGTTTTATCTTCCGTTTTTTTTTGTTTCATCGCGGATCAGTTTTCAAATACTTCCTTTTTGTGTTTTGCAGAGGGATAAATTTGATCGTTGGATTCCGATTAGCGCTTGATTCACAAAGTCACATAATCGATGACCTTAAATCTTAAAGACTTAATAAGACTTAATAGAAGAGAATATTGTCTTTCGTTACTTGAAAAAAATACCACATCAATCTCTGGCCTCTTCGCTACCTAGACTCGAGGCAAAGGTACAATTTAAATGAAGGCGAAGGGGTCAATGCAATCGTACAATAAAGGTACAATATTTGTCAAAGGGTACAATTTTTACCGCAATTTGATACATCAAGGTATAAATTATATTTAATTCGCAAATAAGAAAAGAGAAAGTATAGAAGGTATACTTGAACTGAAGGGAGATTTGAGTATTAAAGGCGAGAAACGCTAACTAGAAATTCCGAATGGTGTGATGATTTTCTTTTACAAAATGAGGCTAGAAACAGTGAAAAAATTGACTAGCCTTTTTTGAACAGAATTACAATTTCTATCATCACTAAACGATACGAAAAAAAATACTAAACTTAAAAGGGAGAATAAGTTATGATTAGGGAACTAATGGAAAAAAAGGAGGGAAAGACGATTGAGGGGAATTGGGATTGAATTTGGCTTCGAGGATGCTAGATCGCGGTGTGGCCGGATCGTTCGGCTGAGATCTGCAACTTCATCCTCAGTTGTGGTGATGGTATGTCTAGACGTACATGCCCATGCCGTACATGGATCCCCAGTCGACGCCTTGGAAACTCGACATATCGACATTTGTTAGCGAGTACCCTTGATAGGGATTGGGTGGTGGGCCCGCTGCCGCTGCAGCGGCGGCCGCAGCTGCGGCTTGAGAATTTTGAGCCGCTGCTCCTGGGGGTACACCATTTGGTTGTAGTTGTGGAGCTTGACCGGGTCCTGCTGCAGCTGCCGCCGCAACGGCAGCGGCGGCCGCTGCCGCAGACGCTGGAATTGGATAGGGCGTATATCTATAGGCTGATAGGGCCGCCGCTGCTGGATATGCACCAGCAAATAATTTTCCATAGCCAGCAACTGCATTTTGTACTTGAGCCGCTGCAGCAGCTGCGGCCGCCGCCTGTACCTGAGCTTGTGCTTGAGCGTGGGCGACAATTTGTGAAGCGGTTGCTGCTCCAACTGGAAGTGTTGGCTGTGGTGCAAGACGTACACCCAATGCGCCAAGAACAACCCTTTTGCCAAGAGCAAGTGCTCCAGGTTGTACCGCCTCTTTCGGTTGAGCCTTTTTGCATTCGACTTTTTTATTTTTTATAGTGTGAAAATGAATCTCACATACCCTGTCGACGACGTCTTCATTTTCAAATGTAACAAAGCCAAAGCCACGATGCCTTTTGGTTTGTTGATCCATGAGCATGACAGTCTCCTCCACTTTGCCAAATTGATTGAAATACGCCTTTACTTCATCACTGCTTGTGTCCTGACTAACACCACCTACAAATATTTTTTTCGTGCGATTCGCCTGTTTTGCACGATTCTTCGGCGTTGCGTGTTTAGGATCAATCTTCTTCCCATCTAGTGTGTGAATTGGACACTTGAGGACCTTGTCGACGCTTCCCGGCTCCGCGAAGGTAATAAAGCCAAAACCGCGGCTTCTCTGTAACGCGAAAGATGAGGCATCGATTCGATTATAATACAAGAGGGCTCTCGCGACCGTATTATTATTATCATTGTTCACCCTTCTCCCATTCCTCGTGTCCGCCATATATTTTTTTTTTTTTTTACACCGTTTCTTGTCTCTGACGTCTTTTTGAAAGCGCGTGTTACTGAAATAATTATTGAATATACGCGATGTAATACGAAATAAAAAACCCAATAAGAATGTCCATTTCACTTGTATTTTGGTCAAATTATATCCCCCATTGAGGTCGGTTGATCCTATACAAAAGTAAAATTTTCATATGGATCCTCGTCCTCAGAGGGTTAACGAAAAACAAGTGGAGTGGATTGATTGAAAAATTAGAACTTATACAATGGAATTACAACTCTCTACGGATATACAAGTGGTAGGAACTGCAAGAAGAAAAAATCTTACGCAGTAGACGTAACAGTGCTTCTACGAACATTACAGATACCCTTCCCTACAACAGCTTGCATCTGCCAAATACTTTCTATACGTCATTCATCCCTTAATCGAATTGCTACATATTTAACTACGAAATTTTTGTAATATTACAGCGTGAGATATACACCAAAAAAATAATAATAAAAAAAAAATTAAATTAGTCGTATTACATTTAACTTTCGAACACTAATGGAATTTGTCAGAAAAGAATAATAAGACAGAGGAAGAGGAGGAGGGATCGCAGTATTACCAACCGCGAACCAACCTGTGTCACTGGGTCCTTCATGATGAGCACGTCGGTTACTGTTCCGAACATGCCAAAATATTCCCTTAGTTTCTCGCTGCTCGTTTGCCAGGATAGACCACCGACGAATAATTTCCCAGGGGCCGGGTCTGTACCATTTGGTGTACTCCGTCCGGAGCTACTTGAATGACTACCGTTTATTGGCACCATATTGTTGTGGAACTCGTGCTCGATAGCCGACCCATTGGCCGCTGCAGCTGCAGCAGCAGCCGCCGCCGCTGCGGCTGCCTCCATGCCGGCACTGCAAAAAAAAAAAATTTTTATAAAAAAAAAATCGTCATTAAACAATCAGTAATCCTAACCTTACTTTTATATCTCTATTTAAAATTTCTATAGCAAATTTTGTCAACAAATATCAGCAATTGCAAGCTAATTTATTTCTACTCGATGTTACCCTTTTGTTGTATTTATCATAACAAAAATTGTTTCGTTATTTTTTAAATTTAATTTATTTCTTATTTCAGGTAATTCCACTGTTCATGTTGATTATGTACGATTTATGCGCAATTACTCTTTTTTCATACAACGCTCTGTTCTGTTCAACCATTGACGTAAGGTAAGTTTGATGTGATAAAATATCTACTCGACCTTTTGTAAATTGTTTCACGCTTCAGTAACGTTGACAACAAACTTTCTTAGCATCCTTGAGAAGAACAAAAAAAAAAAAAAAAAACAATATAACTCCTGAACAATTTAACAATATATCTTTGTTTTCATTTGTTGAATATTCGATACTGTTATTGACATTCCTATTGTATTGGATTTATTGGAAATTTTATTAATAACGAAATTAGTATTTCAATCTTAATTAAATTCACGTTATCTAATTTTTTCAGATTTTCAAATTTTAATAAATACAATAGTCTAAAATTAAATAAATTTGTTAAGTAAAATTTCTCATTCCACAGGCATATCAAATGTCCTAATTAATATGTGCCCGAAGATTAAAAGTAACCAGTGACACACCCTAATGTCTATACCTCCATATAGAAATAGAGTTCATATAGAATAACAGAATTCTATTTTTAACACGAATATACCGCATTGATAAAAACTTACATATATATATATAGAGACGATAAGTATATAGACTTATTTTGTGCACTAGAATAAATGTTGATTTGTTGAATAAGAAACATGATAATTGTGAATTAGAAGGAAAAATATTTGCTGAATCAATATATTTAATAAAATAGCTGCTTCAAAAAAAAAAAAAAAAAAAATAGGTCAAAAAAAGAACTTTGTTTAATTTAATTAAAATAAGCAGCAGGGGTAATAAAAAGACCAGAAAATAGTTTATTTCTTTAGGGGAATGAAATATGTACATATTTCTAGAAAATAGTATTTAGATATCGAAAATATATCTAATGACGTTTTATAAGGAAATGTCAAATCAAAAACACATTTAAATTTTGGGTTTACTGATTAGGAATTTGGTCTTAGTTTAGAAAAATTCAAAATGGTGGTTCCGACACAGAAAAAACGCTGGCTAAATTTTGTTGCGGGTAATTTTAACCAATGCTAATTCACATAGACGGTGGCGACCTCAACTAGGATAAAATTTGTTGCAGTTAATTTTTATACCGATTTTACGTTCATATGAACGAAATTTTTTTTGGCAACTTCTTTAGGTATGAATTTTATTACAAAATATTGTTTAAAATATCTAAAAAGATGTTATTAATTTAATAATTGTTTAATTTACTGTTTTATTTTACATGGTCATCATAATTTTTAATAATTTATAGATTGAAAAAAATATTTCGTTCATATTAACGTTCACAGAAAATTAAAAGGCATTAAAATAAGCTGCAACGCTTCTTATTTTCATCCAATTTTGCTTATTTTAATCCATTTTGGTATTAAAATAAGCAAAATTGGATTAAAATAAGAAGCGTTGCAGCTTATTTTAATGCATTTTAATTTTCTGTGTTCAAAACTTTCGGTTCATCCGATTTTCGGGTAAAAATTCTACTTTTTTTTTTAGTGTGGATATGTCGGCATGAATTGCAAGTTCATCCAATTGCAAGTTTCAAGTAAATCTGTAAAATTAGGTGTCATTTAAGTTTTTAATTAGCTTACGTCAATTTACGTGAATTAGGTGACGAGTTTGTTTAAATTTTTAACTAGCAGAATTGCTTGCTCGAAAGCTTGTTAGTATTTTCAACCAGTACGAAAAAGTGTCGAATTAGGTGACGAATTCGTTTAAATTTTCAACTAGCAGATTGTAACCGACTATGTACTGATTCTTCGTTACAGTTTGTTTAGTATTTACAAACCAGTAGAAAGAAATGTCAATTTAGAACAAGATGAGTATCAATTCAAAGCAGATTTCGGATATAAACCCCCCTATTTCTAAATCGACGCACTTTCTTTTTACTGTATACTGCGGATCTGTATACTGATTCCTACACTGATTATCATAATATCTTGGGTTGTGAAGCAATTTCCAAAACTATCAAAACCTCAACACCCTCTTCAAGATGGTTTTGACAATTGGTATAATAAATTCCGAATGATAATCCCATATATATGTAGGTTCAGCAGCCGGAATCTGCCACGTTATGAGATGACATCGCCCCCTGGATGGTTCGATCTTCGTAACCCTAGATGTCTCAAGGTAAGAAAGTATATATTGACATATAGAAGATAAGTACGACACATTGGTAATAATACCATGTAGTGGGGTATATGCGTTTCTCTGTCTCTTTTGCTCTCGCAGCAGCCCTGCCACCCAATTTTGCACCCCTCTCTCTCTCTGGCTGGAGCCATATATATATATAAAGAGCGAGGGCACGCGAAGGCTTTGATCGAAGGGGGTGGCGGCGGCAGAGAATTGTGAACGGCACGGAACGGAACCGAAACAGAATGAACTAGGGAACAGGGGTTTTGGAGTGAAGCGAGGGTGGCTGAGAGAGCACGCAGCTGGTGGATCAATACGCCCCTCCGTGACCGTTCTTCTGCTCGGCGGGTGGGTTTCTGTTGGGGTGGGTTGGTGGCCGCCCCTTCTCTCTTTCTACACTGTATATTCAGTGGGTGCCGACGACCATAGCTGCCACTGCCACCGAGAGGAGGTCGACGACGATAGCGACGGGGAGAATCGGGTATATAGTAGACGAGGGGTGCTGGAGCGCAAAGAGACGGTGCGGAGGAGGCGCCGCCGTTTGCGAGCGACGCAGTGCCGTCGGGACAATCGACCGGGTTACTTCTCTGTGTTCGCGAATTCACAGTTCCTTTTTTTTTTTCCCCATTTGGTGCCGTTTCAATATCAACATTTTGAGGGAAAGCATAAGCTTTCTAATTTCAAGATCGTTATGGACATCTGAGAAACAAAAAACCGGCGTCGGGGATATTGTCCTGTCACAGCAGTACGTATTTATAAAGTTACTGGTGTGATGGGACATTGTCCTCGATACTGGTGTGACCAATCATCATCATCATCATCAAAGAGGAGAATTTTTTTTTTTCTCAACATAAATTGTGTGGAGTGAAACCTATATTTTTTTTTTTTGGTGATGATAAATGTTTCGCGAAATTGCCGCGTCGCGAAGTGCGGCGCGTATCGAGTCTCTTCGGATGGTAAAAGGGAAAATCCCCGGATAGAAAGAGAGATATATCCATAGGGCGAGAGAGAAAGAGAGAGAGACTACAGTGATGGTTGCATGTTAAATGAGCCCCGGGATCAGAGGATTGGGGCGGGTCTGATTAGGGATCAGAGGAAAATGGCTAAACTGATCGGTTAGGCATCCCTTTTTTTTCTTTCTTTATTTGTGATTCTAGCGAAAAAGGAGAAAATAAGGGTCAGAGGAGACTGATGTAAAAAAAAAAATGCAGAATTTCAATATGGAAAATTTTCTAAAGAAAAATTTGGTATTTTAGATGATTTAGATGTGGATCAGATAGAAATATCGTGAATCGCGCGAGTAGCGTGAAACGGTTTCCGGTCGATAGAGGCGCGGCTACCCTGTCGGTGATTGTGAGGAACAAAAAACCCCTCTCTTGATTTCTTTCCGTTTGCGTGACCATCTCTTAGTAATCTATATATATATGTATGGACGATGTGTCAATTAGAGAAGCTTTTTTTAATGAATTGATTGATGATATTGGCCCAGTTTTTTTTGGGTGGGGGGGGGGGGCGTGATTACTATCCGAAAATGTCCCTAGTTTTGTTGAATAATGAATAGGTTGCAGGGTGGTTGTAACCTCGTTAGATAGAGAGTAGAAATGGTAATCCCTCGTGCATGAGTTCACAAAACCCTCGGTCGTAGGTTACTTCTCTCATTTGTGGTTGGGGGGAGGGATCTTAACGGAGAATGTTTCCTCGGGGGTTAGCTGCTAACTTCATAATGAATCACCGAGGGAGAGGATATGTGAAATCAGTCATTTTGTGACTGATGTCTTCATCACAAGGCGATATATTTTCATTTTTTTTCTCGATAATATATGAAAGTTCCCTATTTTAATAGTCACGTCAAATGAAAAGGTATTTTTATATTTTGCTCTAAATGTTCAGGAATCTTTTAAATTTAAATATTCTTTTGATTGTCCAAAATTTTTGTGGAACGCATAAATAACGTATGATTAGAAGATATATTTGAATTAATTATGAACAAATTCAGTTGAATATGTTAATTCCGTTGATAAATTCAATGAATATTATGGTAAATAGAAAAATTAAAAAAGGTGAAGGAAATTTGTTTCCTTATTTTGATTAAAGATGTTGAAAGAATTACAGACAAAGATCTCGAAATTAATCAAACATCTTGTATTAGATGAAAGATTTTAAAATATACCAAAGATGTTAAAATAAATTAAAGATCTGAAAATGATTTGATATCCAATAATTTTTTTCGAACAGCAAAGGACTATAGAAATATGAAAATTTTGGCTATTTACAGAATATTGAAACAAATTTGAAACTAATAAAAATAGTTTTTAATAATGAATCAAAGCAGCAGAATTTATCAAAAATTTGTCTAATTGAGAGTAAAATCAATAATTTTTATGCCTTCGAAATTCTGTAGCATTTTTTTTTTCTCAGTGGAAAAATTGATCAATCTCAAATGTTGTACGATTAATTCAACAAATACTATAGGGGGAAAAGCATATATATATCCAATGACCGAGGAAGAAATTTGACCCGAAAAATGTAAATGCAGAAATTAAAAATTCAATATATTATAAAAACAGAATCATTTCAAAATTAATGATAACTAATAATCTATCATTATTGGTTTATCAAAATGCGCAGCTGCAAAATTGAATTCTTTTTTCTTCTCTCTCCATAGTTGAGAGATAAATGTTGTATCGATTCCATATAGCAGAAAGAGAGAGAGAGAGAGAGGAACGATAAGAAGGTGCGTAATGAAAGGGTCAGTAAAGGGTTGGAAATAGGGACACGAGGACGAAGATGAACGAACACGAGGCATTTGACAACGTGGGATTTCAGAATGGTTATATATTGAGGGCGAAAGGGGGTTGAAAAGAGGGAGGGAGTTTTTTTTTCTCTCTCTTTTTTTTTTTTTAAATCAAGGAAGTATACGACGGCGACGATTAAAGTAATGCGCGAGCGCGTGTGGATTGCAAAAAGGGGAAAGGTCAGGATGAAGTGGGTTTCAGGTCATGTTGCCTAGATGGCAGGACACGACAGAAGCGCACAAACAACCCTTATGTAACTGTGGCAGTGGCAGTGACAATGACACACGGCGCATTTCTCCCCTCTGCATAAACAATAAACATATATGTATACGCGTCTTGGTCAATTATCTCGCGAACTGTTTTTGTTTCAATAATTTCGTGATACAAGAAAAACAAAAACAAATCGATATAATGAAGAGTGCCCTTTCAAGAGAGAGAGAGCGAGAGAGAGTGAACAAGAATTTTCGAGATTTAAGTTCATGATGATGATAAAGAAGAAATTGAAAGAGAGAAAAAGATTCGACCATTTTTTTGGTAACGTGAGAGACTTAGCGAGAAAAAAGCTGTGTAGACGTGGTAGATTTTATGTAGAGTGTAGAATAAATAAGTGTTTATATATATATTTATAAATAATACAGGATCTATTTTTGCAAGCTTAGCACCATTAAAAAAAAATTAGGGATTTTTCTTATTGTGTGAATATTAAATTTATTTTCAATATTTAGTTTAATTCAATATTTAATATTGGAATATTTAATTTCATATTCTATTTCATAACACAGTATTCATTTATTAAAGTAATATTATATAATTGAAATTGTATTTTCATTTCATTTATCTAATTGCAAAATTCAATTAATTAATTAAAATGAAATTAAATACTGTAATTACAATCCAAGAGAAAGTAATTAAAATCAAGGTAAATTCATTAAAATATATAGAGGAAAATTGGATATATAAAATGAAATTAATTTAACTAAACTTATTCAAATTAAGATTAATTGTTTTATGTAGAATTTTTCATTTTAAAACAAAAGTTAAATGTATTTCATTTAGATATTCGCACAATGTTAGTTTTAATATATATTTATATTAGAGTATCATAAATTTGTAAAATTTCGCTTTAAAAATGCACATATGATATAGAAATTTATATAAAAATTACACGCAGACTTAAAAGTGTATAATCTTCTTCGAAAGGCTTTTCTCGTTTTTAAAAAACGTAAAATAATATATAATTTATATAGTATATGAATGTTTAGAAATAGCTTTTTAAATTCGTATTAGTAGAAAATAGGAAGCACTTTGTTTTTTTTTTCTTATAATAAAATAGTGTCAATTTTTTAATTCTGATAATTAGATTTTACTATGTTTTTACGTAAGTTATATTATACTTTAATATATGATAAAGTATAATATAACCAATATCTTCCTTAGAATAATAATTAGCATAAAAAATCTCAAAATAATGAATTATAAAATTATTTTGAATTTTATATTGATTCAACATTATTATTAAAATATTATTTGTAAAAAAAATATATATAGAAATAATTATAGAATTTCTATATTGAGATATATTTAAGTTTTTTAAATTATTTATATCCGTCGATAACCCTCTTATGTTAATAAAATATAATATTTATATTTATATAAAAATCATACTGTAATTTTCCTTTCCACTTTATATACATTCCTCTTTTTTTATCATTTTTAAAATCGTTATTTTCTTATATTTTCAATATGATTCCTTATTTTTTTGGGGGGGAATTTTATCAATTTTTTTTTTAATTAGGCACAATTTAACGAAAAAAAAATTATTTAAACACTATTAAAAAATTCTTTTTAAATAAATGTCTTATGCACGTCAATGTTTACTTCATTAAATGAATTGAATATTAAATGTTTTCCTTAGATGGTAGTTAGTATAGTGAGATATATAATTAGTCGATTTTATAAATTATTATCTAAAAGAAATATTACTGAAATCAATATATTTTCCATATTAAAAAAGTCCTTTTGAAAATTTTTATAACAATTTTTCAATTAAACTCTAATTTATAATATAAATTAAATAATATTACATTTTCAACAATAATTCTATAATAATAAAAATAATAAAAAAATAAAAAATTCTATATTAATAGTTACATTAAAAATACAAATTAATTAAATATTTAAAAGGACTTTTTTCGTAAAAGTAAAAAAAAATTGTCAGGTATAATAATAGTAATTAAATACTAAAATTTTGTTAATTATTGATTGAATTTAAAAAACGTTCTGTTTTAAAAAAAGTTATTTTGCTGATATTGCAGTTCTCTGTAGTGACGTCGATATAATATCGACTGATGGTAAGACAGAAAACTGTATATCACAAAATTTCTATTTTACCGACAGACGTTAATTCAATATTTCAAATATTATCATTTACCGGGTAATTTTCGCGATGATAATTTATTATTTATTCATTAAAATTTGTTTATTTATTTATTTTGATTAATATAAAATTTTTATAAACTAAAATAACTAATATAGAATAATGTAATGTTTTAAATTGGTATTCTAAGTTTTGAGAAAATTAGCTATATAGGTATTAATGACAACTATTGATCAAACAGACCATCAGGTTTTATTTCCTTTTTTTTCTTCTAGAAAAAAGAATGCTCTGCAGAAAATAGATTTCCACATAACTCGATATTTAATTTTAACAGTTTTTTTTTTACAATTTACAAATGAAAAATTAATTAAAATATTGGTAATTAATTTTATATTTTTAAGAAAAAAATGTTATGTAATAACTAAAAATAATAAAAAATAATTTAAAATTATCAATTAATTAATTTTCCATAAAGTTGTTACGTTAAAAAATGAAAACAAACAAGTTTTTCTTAATTGCAAATTTGATTTAAAATTTGTATTTTAAAAAAATACCTTGGACATTTTTTTATTCAGTTTGGAAAAATGGAGGAGGTAATTTTTTTTTTTTTTTATTTATATAAAAGAATTTTTTTTATTAAATTTTCATTAGCAGCTATTCTAATTATTCCAACTGAAAAACTTTTTTTTTCGTACTATTTTCGAGTGCATTGTCCATATATAAATGGTAAATTAGCGAGAAAAGTTTCTCACGGTTCTTCAAATTTACGAAGAGTTTTACTCTCTTTCCTTAAACATTTTCCGCCCTAGAAATCTAACCGCAATTACCGATAAGTCCTGGAGGTGTCTCCTCGGACCGGAATAATTATTCTCTCGTATCCCACACCTAATACTAACTATATTCATTTGCTCTTTCAAATATTAGTCGTAAAGTCATTTTACAAATTCTCCTAATATACATACATTATCCTGGAAAATTCTTCAATTTAAATTAATGTATATTTTTTTCAATACTTATTATTAAAATAAGTTTATTGTAAAAACATATTTTATTGTTTTTAAAAAGCAAAAATTTATCTCAATTTTTTAATGAAAAAAAAAAAAATTAATTACTTTGCATCAAAGAACTTCATTTAATGGATGAGTCATTAATAAATTCCACGAAGCAGATAATTTCGTTCTTGTTCTCCAGTTTCAATTCGATAAACTGAAATAATTATTTCGTTCATTGAGATACATTATTTTCTTGGAATACAAATATCAAAGGAAAATTTTACGCAACTTCAAAAACTATTATTTAATTGAATCGATAAAAAAAAAACCCCCCACCAATCACTTTAATGACTCGTTCTACAGATCGGATTTTCAATATTGAAAAACAGGAAATTGAAAAAACAATTTTCATTTTAAAATTCTTTTTTTTTTTTAAATACAAATGTACATCAAAAATTTTTACAATGCTTTCCTTTATGAAGAGAATATATGGGAAATAATTCGCAGCAAATTATATGAAAGAGTAAAAAAAAATACCCCCAAAAAATTATGTACCAAGATACATAAATAACATTCTTTTTTTTTAACGTGTGGGAACGTTAAAACATAAAATCAGAATTAATTTGTTTCGAAAAAAAAAAAATTGACTTTTTTACAACAATTACTTGGCAAGTTTAATTTCATTTTTCTTTTTTATATACTCTACGCGCTCAGCAAATGACCCAGAAATTATTATAACACATCAAATCTCGAGATAAAATTTTAATTAAAACTTTCTACAACAACCCCCTTGTTGAAAAATCGATTTCAACCCCGCGAGATGTATCTTCCTGTTCATTTCCGTAAACGCAACAACGATTTTTGCATATATTGAAAAAAGAAATCATTGCGGCTGATGATTAGCGAGAGTTCGATATAAAAAAAAAAGAAAATGATTTTTATTACCTTCTCTCTAAATCTAAATTAGTAAAAATGTTTACTAATTTGAATTAGTGACTCACTTTTTGCTTCTGAATTAGTAAAATTTTATTAATTGTTAGTAAAAGTTACTAATAATTAGTAAAAAATTTTTTTTTAGAGTTTAGTAAAAGTTACTAATAATTAGTAAAATTTTACTAATTCAGAAGCAAAAAGTGAGTCACTAATTCAAATTAGTAAATATTTTTACTAATTCAGATTTAGAGAGTTGAAAAAAAAAATTTCTTTCTTTCAAGTAATCGATTACTTATTATCAAATAAATATTTACTTAAACCAAATAATATTTATTTAAACCAATAATTTCTTTATTTAAAACAAATACCATTTGTTAAATAAATAAATATTATTATTTCAAGTAAATATTGAATAATTATTTGAATCAAATTTTTTTTCAGTTTAAATTAAAAATAAACATAATTTATATCTTTAGTACATGTACGTAAAATGATAAAAAAAAAAAAAACAGAGAATGCCAACATTGTTATTTTCTCGAGTTACAAGAAACTGTTGGTTTGTTTGTGGGATAGAGAAAATGGGTGAGGGGGGGGGGGGAGGAAATAGGAGAGAATGAGAGGTGGAGATTGAACCAAAGAAAAGAGGAAACGTTTCTGCACAGAGTTGCCAAAAAAAGATATACGAAAAAAAAGCCTCCCTATCGCGGTAGAAGTTGCGCTTTATAAAAGGAAACATCCGCATCGTTGCACTGGCCCGAATTTATATCCAACTCAACTTACAAATCTTTCTAATGGAATGAGGGGGGAGGGGGGGGGGGGTTGGAAGAAGAAGGTAGTTGGCCAAACGTTGGATCGATTCAAGTATTTTACTGTGAATTATCATTTTGTTGAATACAAACGTAGAAAACAAAGTTTTTAGAATTTTTTTAAACAATAATTATATAACAAAAATTAATATTAATTATTAATTATTAATTGATTAATTTTTTTTTTTGAATTCGTTTTAAATGAATTTCTTTTGCGCTAAATAAAATTTTATTTGTGCTAAATAAAATTGTTTGTTTAAAGCAAATAAAAAGTTATTAGGCTCTGAAATATATACTTTTGATTCATTTATATACATTTAGTTGATTCAAAAAAATTTGATATTTGTCTCAAATATATTTGAGACTTCCTATAAGAAGTAAAATATTGCTCCAAATGTAAAAATTGACAAATTATTAATTACTATT